CATGGCCAGTCAGGTCTATGCGCGCGACCCCGTCGCTGAAGGCGCTCCGTCGGCCTTCCGCCGCCGCGCGATGCTGCGGCGCCAGCTCCTGGGCTCGGCCAGGCTGGCGTCGCGGACAGGATGATCTGGGTCGCGGCGGAGCTTGAGTCTTCCAGGTTCGGGGAGATCGTGGGCGCCGCCGCCATGGATGATGAGAACCGTGGGACTGGCTTCGATCAGGCAGGGATGGCAGCCATCGACGGTGAGGATATCTTTGCGCAGAAGATCGTGGCCAGTCGCCTCGCTGAGTTCCAGAAGGATGTGGAGGCTTATCTCGGGGGCCCGCGCACCCTCGGCGACCGCCTCGACGACGCCGGCCAGCGGAACCTGAGGCTCTCCGAGGCCGTCGCCCTGACGCGGGGCGCCGAGCAGCCAGGGCCCCCGCTGTCCGGCATCAGGGGCGCGAAGGAGTTCCCAGGGTCAATGGCCGCCAGGCCTGAGAACGCGACAACGTGCCGGGCCGAGCGGGGGCGTCGGAGCGGGGTCGGCGAGGGCTCGGCGGCGATGCGCGTGCGCGGGGGATTTGTGCGAGGTCATCCGTTTGATGCGCTCGTGGGATCAGGCGGGCCCGCCCATGCTGGCGCCGGCCGAGCTGATCGGGCGTTGACTGGTCAAGACAGAGATCGCGGTGGAGCGGGCCCCCCGCCATTCCAGCTACAGCGGATTGGGCGCTGCGATCTCTGACCCGGTGAATGCCGCGGGGCGGGCTGCCGCGACCAAGTCCAACAGTTGGGTCGCCGACGGGCTCAAGGACCGCGTTATGATATGGAAGCAGGGGCGTTTTTACAGGGAAGAGCAGAAGCAGTCCAGGAAAGGCGCCGACGGCGGCAAAGGCGGCGACCCCTCCGATCCGACGAAGCTGAAGCGCAAAACGAAGAAGTCGAAGGGAGTAGGGGCCGGCGACGGCGACGGCGCTGGCGGCGAGGGGCGGCGGATCGCGGGGCCGTGGAGGGGCTGGCGCCGGCAGCGCAGGCGCCTTGGGAGCACCTTCGCGGCCGACGTCTACGCGGGCTAGCCCCGTTGCGCCTGGAGGGATCCAGTCGCGGGATCGACGGCGTGGGGGGCCGTTTCCACTGCCCTGCGATCCGAGCGGCTTCGGTTTTGCGCGCGATCCTGATCGGCGACGGCATGTTTTCGCTTCGGTTCGGGCCCTGAACTAGCTCGCCGCCGCCAACTGGAATTCACGCCCCGCCCGGGGGCGCGGCCGCTCACCTGGGGCGCGCCCCCGGCCGACCGCCGCGCGGCGCTGGATGCTCCAGAACGTCGCCAGGCGCGCGCGGGCACGCGGGGGCTGCCCCTCCAGCCTCAGAGGAATCGTCGCTCGCCGAGATCCTCGACTCACGAGACCACTGCGGGATGGGGCCCGGGAACTTGGCCAGCTTCGACTTCGACAAGGTCACGATCCTGCGCAGGAAGGCGTGCGCGCGTCGGATTCGTCGCGAGCTTCCCCCAGCGGCCCTCGGCTGTCTTCGGCGCGCGGCCGACTTGGTCGAGATGGGCGAGGCGGAGTTTGAGAAGGGCGAGGCCGAAGGCATGGGGTTCCCGCCACACCGGGGCCCTCGCCTTCGCCGCTCGCGAGACCAGCGGAAGCCGTTGTTCCAGCGCCCGAGTCAGCGGGGCTTTCTGACCCGGCGCCGGCGGCCGAAAGGACGCGCGGGCATCTTCGAGGCCGAGACGAAGGGTGGGTTCCAGGGATTGCGGTCATAGACGCGCGGCTAACTGGGCGCGTCGGGCACCCCCCCTAACCCGGCGCCCCCGATGCAAATTATCCCCCCCCCTGTTCCCCCTGTTTTTTTTCGCCCCGTGCCAATGGGATCTCGTTGTGGAGAGGGGCGCGGAGGCCGGACTTGACAATCCCCGGGGAAGTTGCGAATCGAAGTTGCGATCATGTCATCTTGACTAGCAACAGCATCAATTATCCGGCAAAGCAACCTAACAGCGATGTGTCTAAGCTGGAAGCATTCTCCTTAAGATTCAGGTGAGAATCCAGTTGTAAAGTTCTGCTGTTCTCGCAGTCGCAGTCGCATTCGCAGTGACAGTCGCAGCGGCAACGGCCGTAGGATCCAATGGAATCCAAAGGATTCCTAGAGATTCCTAAGGCCTCCTTAGGCATCCTTAGGAATCCATCGGAATCCTTAGGAATCCTGATTCCTATGGATTCCTTGGGATTTTCCTAAGGATTCCCGAGGAATCTCAAGGATTCCTCAGGTTTCCTTAGGATTCCTAAGGATGTTTAACTATGCCTACGGATTTCTAAGAATGCCTACGGATTCCTAAAGCTTCCTAGGGATTCTTGGGGATTCCTATGGATTCCGACGGATGCCTCAGCCTGCCTCAGCCTCAGCTTCAGCCTGCCTCAGCCTCAGCCTCAGCCTGCCTCAGCCTCAGCCTGCATCAGCCTCAGCCTCAGCCTCAGCCTGCCTCAGCCTCAGTCTCAGCCTGCCTCAGCCTCCGCCTGCTTCAGCTTCAGTCTCAGCCTGCCTCGGCCTCAGCCTGCCTCAACCTCAGCCTCAGCCTGCCTCAGCCTCAGCCTCAGCCTGCCTCGGCGTGCCTCAGCCTCTGCCTCAGCCTGCCTCGGCCTCTGCCTGCCTCGGCCTCAGCCTGCCTCAGCTCGGGCATTCAAAATATGGCACAGGACTGGTATTCTGGGGACACGAAGGTCACGAAGTTGCCCACAGTTGGTTATGAGCAAGCCAAATCTGGTACAGGAGTGGTGTTCTGGGAACGCGAAAAGCACGAAGTGGCCTACAGTTGGCTCCGGGCATTCAAAATGTGGCCTGGGAATCGTGTTCTGGGAACACGAAGAACACGAAGTGGCCTACAGTTGGCTCCGGGCATTCAAAATGTGGCCTGGGAGTCGTGCTTTGGGAAGACGAAGATCACGAAGTGGCCTACAGTTGGCTCCGGGCATTTAAATGTCGCCTGGGAATGGTGTTGTGGGAACGCGAAGAACACGAAGTGGCTTACAGTTGGCTCCGGGCATTCAAATGTGGCCTGGGAGTCGTGTTTTGGGAAGACGAAGAACACGAAGTGGCCTGCAGTTGGCTCCGGGCATTTGAAATGTGGCCTGGGAAGCGTGTTCCGTTGGCTCCGGGCAGTCAAAATGTGGCTTGGGATAATGTTTTAGGGAGTCCCCAGATCCCCCGGATTTCCCCAGCATCCGCTCAGACCCTCCTGGGGAGTCAAGATGCTTTCTTTTGACCCCACAAGAAACCTACCAGTGTTCGCTGTTAGGGAAAAGCGCTGAGTATGGCCATGGTGGTCTCGCCATTCCAGCTTCCGCAATCACGAGCGCGTGGCAGGGCTGTGCGATTCTCATCATTGCGTCGCCGTCGTCGTCGACGGCGACGGCGGCGACGTCGACGACGGCGACGAAAGCGGCGGCGGCAGCGGCGGTTGCGGCGGCGACCACGACGAGGAACACGACGCAGTCGACAATGATGGCGACGAGGTCGATGACGGTAACGACGACGACGACAACGATGACGGCGGCGGCGGCGATGGTGGCAGCGGCGACCACGACGGCGACGACTACAACGACGGCTACGGCGGCGGCGTCGACAACGACGACGACGACGTCGTCCATAACAACGACGACGACGACGACGACGGCGGTGACGACGACGTTGATGACGACGACAGCGTTGACGGCGGCGGCGACGACGACGGCGACGACGACAACGACGACGACGACGACGACGGTGACGAAGACGACGACGACGACGACGACGCCGACCATGACGACGACGACGACGACGACGACGACGACGACGACGACGACGACGACGACGACGGCGGCGCCGGCGGCAGCGGCGTTGGCGGCTGACGCGGCGACAACAGTGGTGACGACGACGACGTCGCCGACGACGACGGCGGAGGCGGCGGCGACGACGATGACGCCGACGGTGACGACGACGATGACGACGATGGCGGCGGCGACGCTGACGAAGACGACGACGACGACGACGGCGGTGACGACGACGACGACGACGACGACGACGGCGACGACGACGGCGACGGCGACGACGACGACGACGATCACGACATCGACGACGACGGCGACGGTAACGACGACGGTAATAACGACGACGACGACGACGACGACGACGGCGTCGACGACGGCGACGGTGACGACGACGGCGATGACGAAAACGACGACCACGACGACGACGACGACGATGGCGGCTCCGACGACGACGACGACGACGGCTCCGACGACGACGACGACGACGACGACGACGGCAGCGCTGATGACGACGACGGCGACGGCGGCGGCGGAGGTGGCGGTGACCACGACGACGACGACTCTGTTGACGACGACAACGACGACTACGACGCCGACGACGGCGGTGACGACGACGCCGACGGCGGCGGTGACTACGACGATCACGACAACGACGACGACGACGATGAGGATGACGACGACGGTAACGACGACGACGACGACGACGACGATGGTGACGACGACCACGACGACGACGACGGCGGCGGCGGCGGTGTCGGCAGTGGCGCCCACGACGACGACGGTGACGACGACGACGACGACGGTGACGACGACGACGACGACGATCACGACGACGACGACGACGACGACGACGACAACGGCGGCGGCAGCGGCGACGACGACGACGGCAGCGGCGACGACGATGACGACGGCAAAGACGACGGCGACCACGACGACGACGATGACGACGACGACGCCGACGACGACGACGACGATGACGACGACGACGCCGACGACGACGACGACGACGACGATGACGACGACGACGACGACGACGATGGCGACGACGACGACGACGACGACGACGACGACGACGACGACGACGACGACGACGACGACGACGACGACGGCGGTGGCGGCGGCGGCGACGACGACGACGACGACGACGACGACGACGGCGTCGAAGCTTTTTGGGGGCCCGCTGCTGCGAGGGTGTCGCTCGCGGCCTCCCTGCGAGGAGCCTTGGCCGCTCGGCGGCCCCGCTTTCCTCGTGTACTACGGGCCCGCCCTGCTGCAGAAGCACGCGGCGGCCTGGGGCCGGGGGCCAGGAACCCCAGTTTTGACGAACGAACAACACGCACCCATACCCATAGGTGGGGCGGAGGGGGCTATGGGTGCGTGTTGTCGGATGGGGGTCCCCGCTCGAAAGGACGCATCCCCCAGGATCCGACAACCCGCACCCATACCCATAGCCAGTCTTCCTCCCAACATTCCCCCTATGGGTATGGGTGTGTGTTGCTCGTTCGTCAAGTTTGGCGAGCAGGGGGCACAGACATGCAGCATCGTCCTGAGAAAGACCAGGCCTGGGATTTTTTCCTCGATCTTCGGCCTCATGGGGGCCCGCACTGGGCCCCCGGAGCGTCCAAGAGCGGCTCGCGACGTGAAAACCCGCCCCGGGGAAGGGGTCAGGGCCGCCGGGGGCCGCGCATGGACACAAGCAGGACATCGCTGCGGCTGTGGGGCAAGAGTCCAGATGCGCAACATGGTTCCCATGCCCCCTTCGGGCCAACAGAGATCACGACGGGAGTTTTTGTCGCAATGCTCGGCGCCTGGGGGCCCCTGCGCTACCAGGCCTCGGGACCGTCAACAAAACGACCCGACGCCATGCGCAAACTCATGACGACGCGGGTTGCCTGGGACTGGTGCACCGCGGACTGGCGGCGAGTCCCGCTTCCTGACCCACTCCAGCGCGCTCCGTCGCTGAAGCGGGCGGCACCGGCGCCACGCTTCGGGGGGGGCACTGTCCCCGAGCCTCAGTGGGCCCTGGAAACGACAGGGCCGTTTTTTTACCGGTTCCGCTTTGCTGTTTTTCTGCCGGTTCCGACGCCGTTTTTTGACCCGTTCCGTCGCCGTTTTGTGACCGGTTCCGGCTCCGGTTCCAATCCTGGAGCCGTTTTTTTGCCGTTTCTGGTCGTGTTTTTTTTTGCCGTTTCCATTTTCGAGGGACACTTTTTTGGAAACGGTGAAAAAACGGCCTTGCCGTTTCCGGGGCCCACAGAGCCCCGAGCCGTGGCAACCTGGCGCCCACTCGACAGATCCACGAGTCCCTCATCCATGCCAGCGCGCGCCCGAGAGACGGGGAGGGAGCTCCCGGGGGTTGGCCCGGGGCTTCCCTCCTGGATTCGCGCGAGAATTAAACAATAGAGGTTTGCATCCGTTTTCGGCCCCCAGGGCCTTCTCCGGGCCCATGGACCGCCGAAAAACGGCCCGGAATGAAAAGCCGGCCCCGAGGGGGAGGGGACCCAGACCTCTGGGGGTCGACGTTGTCGGAGTTTTGGAGCAAGCCCTGACCCAAGCCTGCCCTGTCCTCCGATATTGCAGGCTTGCGTGTGGGGTGTGCCCCCAGGGACCTCGACCCCTGCCCCCAGGCCGGCTTTTCCTCCTGTCGGCGGCGAAATCCGAGCCCTACACTGGCCGATCGACGATTTAGGCAATCCGATGGGCCGCGGGGGGAACACGTTGCGACATCCGAACCGTGCCCCCGCTTCCCATCGATTCATGAGAATCGATGGTGGGTGGGGGTAGGGTTCGGATGTCGCCACCTATCCTGAGCAGTTGTTGTGCGATTCCGCAGCCAAGCCCGCCTCCAGAGGCCGACAGTGCTCAGAAACTGGCCGTGGCGAGTTCTCCTTTTGCGTCGCTGGGATCGGGGGGTACATCGTCTCTCCTGGGGCCCCTTTCGATTCGCTCGGTTGATCCGATTTGATTTCGATTTCGTCCGGCTCGATCCGGTGCGATTCCGACATCCCGACGATTCCGATGCGGCCCGAACTTTCCAGGACCGCAGTCGTGCATCCTGGCGCCCGCCGATCCTGATGGGCCTGTTTTCCACCACCACCGTAAGTTGGAGGGGGGGAGGAGGAGGAGGACGAGGAGGAGGAGGACGAAGAGGAGGAGGAGGAGGAGGAGGAGGAGGAGGAGGAGGAGGAGGAGGAGCAGGGGGAGGGGGAGGGGGAGGACCCCGTCCCCCTCCACCAACTTATGGTGGTGGTGGTGGTGGTGGTGGAAAACAGGCCCATCAGATGCTGCTCGATTCTGGCTCCGTGCCGATGCAGCCCGATGCGATGCTGGTTCCGAGCTGGTGCCGGCCTGCAGGCGCCCCGCCGGAGACTTCTCACCCTCGGAAGGGCCCAGGGGCGCACAGAGGTCCTGGGCTTCCCGGGGGGCCTTCCAAGCTCGACGGCGAGTGATTTTCAGGAGGGGGAGACACACACACACACAGACACAATGCATCGCCAACTCCCAGGAAAGCATCGGAAGATATGGGAAGTGTGGGGGGGGGAGAAGACGAGAACCCTGAAAAGATGGAAACAAGTATAGGGCATCCTGTTATCTGTGTGTACTTCTTTGTGTGTCCCTGGGCCCCTTCAGAGCTGCTCCGAGATTTCGTACCACGGGCGGCAGTTGGAGGGAACGGGCGGCAGCGGGCGGGGGCGTGCCGGATCCTCGACGCAGCCGCCCAAGTTATTCCCGGAAGAGTGGCAGGAGCCCCCGAGTGCAAGCAGTGTTTCGGGAATGTTTGTTTACCGTGCGCGCCCGCTGCCCAGACCTCCGACGTCGTGATTTTGCTCATGACTTCGACACCCAGAGAGGTCCGGACCCCTTCCCCGGGACAGGCTTTTGCACCCGCCGTCGATTTGTTGACGGTCCCCAGGCAGGCCTGGTGAGGGCCCCCCAGAGCCCGAATTGTTCGGAACGCCTGTCTTCGCGTGTTTTTCATGACCCCTCGAGGGCCAAGCGGACAGCTTCTCATCTCATCCTCCTTGTCCTCCTCCTCCAAGGTTCTTCATGTTGTGAAGATCGCCACGCTGAGCGGCGCTCCAGCGCCGCGCCCGCAGCACCCTTGACGGTGCCCACGCGCGGGAGTGTCTCTCTGTCTGTCTGTCTGCCTCGGGGGGGTCTGGCTGTGTGGCCAGGGCTGCCCAGCTCTCCCAGGCGGGGGGCAACCTCTACGGCGCCCTGCTGGCGCTGGCGGAGGTGCTGAGGCAGGCGCGGGGCCTGTGGCCCCTGGAGGAGGCGGCGGCCGGCAGCAGCGTGACGGTGCGCATCGACGCCATCAAGGACGCCGACCTGGAGGCGCTCCTCCCTCTCCTCCCTCCCTCCCTCGTCCTCCCTCCTCCCTCCCTCCTCCTCCTCCAGCGTCTCCTCCTCCTTCTCCTCGCCCTCCCTGCTCCCTCCCCCTCCTCCTCCCTCCTTCCTCCCTCCCTCCCTCCCTCCTCCCTCCATCCTCCACCTTCCGTTCCTCCTCGCTCTCCCAGCTCACTCCCTTCTCCCTCCTTCCTCCGTCCTCCTCCTCCTCCCTCCCTCCCTCCTTCCTCCTCTTCCTACCTCCCTTCTCCTCCTCCTCCTCCTCCTCCTCCTCCTCCTCCTCCTCCTCCTCCTCCTCCTCCTCCTCCTCCTCCCTCCTTCCTCCTCTTCACTCCACGGCGGGTCCTTGAAAAGAGGAAGAGCGCTCTGGCTGACGGCGTTGAGTCTGTTCCGTTGTGTTGCTCAGCGTGAGTCGCTTGGCCCCCTCTCGGCTAGTGGGTGCTCCCGTCTCCTCCCTCCTCCTCCCTCGCTGCTCCCTCCCTCCTCCCGTCTCCTCCCTCCTGCGCCTGCTCCCACCTAAACGTCCTCCTCTCCCCTGCTCCCGCACAGAAGTCCGAGCCCTACCCTGGGCCCCCATCGGCTTTGACTGGTTGGGGTTCCTCTGTGGGCATGCACCACGCTCGTGCCCGCTCGCAGTTCTGAGACCCCCGCCAGGTCCTGGTCCAGGTCCTGGTCTGGGTCATGGGCCGCTTCCTCCTCCCCGGACATCCGGCGTCTCGACAAAATACAGGCGCATGTTAGAATATGTTGCCGGTATCCGTAGACCGTCGGTCGGGACCCAGGACCGTGACGCAGGTTGCGACTCAGGTTTTGGTTGAAAGGGCCGAGATTTCCGGGAGCTCCTGCTATGAAGAAGCATGAATCAGGCGACCGCAAACATGGAGTAAGTAAGGGAGTGTGGATTAGCGACGGGTCCCGTTTCCATGGGAAATCGCACATTTCCGCCGAAGAAGGAGGCGGCCTTGGCCACATTTTGGGGAGGGCACCTCCCCCGATCCATGGATTTGGCGACCGCGCGCCAAATCCGTGGATCGCTAATCCATGTTCGCGCGCCCCCGACTGATGCTGCAGCTCCTGGTGGGTTTTATCATTGGGCATCGGCGCTGTGTTTTTCCTTGGGTCTTTTCCCGACGGGTCCAGCACGCTCCAGCTCGCCATCCCGTTTCAATTGGGTTAGATTGCATTCTGGTTGCGCCGAGTTTGTCGTTGTCCGGATTCATGGATCCCCAATCGTTTTTGTTGTTGGTAGTAGCCCTTGATGAATCCCACGGTGACCTCCCAGGAGTTGCCTCCTGACTCCTCCGTCCTCCCTCTTTCAACCACTACCTACCAGTCGCTGGAAGTAGTTTGATCTGGATTCCCAAATTCCAAGATGTTTTAGGCGCCTTTCTATCCTAGACGCTTCGCCTAACCCCGCCAGCCCATCCAGAAAGTACATGTTGGCAAGATAATCGTCGACGTTGCGGTGTTTTTTGACAGGTTGGACGAGGGGGTTCCGCGTAGGGTTGGCCAGGCGTCCGCGCGCGATGTGCGCCGCGTCCCATTCCTGCTACATTTTCGCAGCGTCGACGACAAGAAAACCCATGTTGACGATAAAAACGTTGACTTTGTATTGTTTTTGATGCGTAGGACGCGACCACCCGCTGAGGGTTACCCAAGCGATGTTCATTCCGTCAAATTCTTGTTACACGTTTCGCAACTCGACGACATGTAGGCGAGACAAAGGCTGAGCTTGTGTTGTTTTTGACAGTTAGGACGGCGGGGTTGCGATCGGCTGGCTAGGTGGGGATGTGGGGTCTTTAATCATACGAAGTAAGGATAAACCCTCCCCCGAAGGGGAAGAAGGGGGTTGGAAGAGGAAACGCTGTA